CATGCCCAGCTAATTTTTTGTATTTTTAGTAGAGACGGGGTTTCACCATGTTGACCAGGATGGTCTCGATCTCTTTACCTCGTGATCCGCCCGCCTCGGCCTCCCAAAGTGCTGGGATTACAGGCTTGAGCCACCGCGCCAGGCCTGATTTTTTTTTTTTTTAAGACAGTCTCACTGTCACTCAGGCTGAAGTGCAGTAGCACAATGTCGGCTCACTGCAACCTTCGCTTCCCGGGTTCAAGTGATTCAGCTTCTTGAGTAGCTAGGATTGCAGATGTCAGCCACAATGCTTGGCTGATTTCTGTATTTTTAGTAGAGATGGGGTTTTTTTTAATGTTGGCCAGGCTGGTCTCAAACTCCTGACCTCAAGTGATTTGCCCACCTCAGCCCACGTAAGGTGTTGAGATCACAGGTGTGAACCACCGCGCCTGGCCAACGCTGTTTATTACTTAACCGCTCTTTTTGACTCTGGCCACTCCCCAGGTGGGTTGGATTCACACAGAATAAGTGGAAAACAAGGAGTGAATGGAGTTTGCTTAAATGGAAGTAAAATGGCAAGCTTATAAGAGGCTTGAGGCCAGGTGAGGTGGCTCATACCTGTAATCCCAGCACTTTGAAGGCCGAAGCAGACAGATCACTTGGGGTCAGGAGTTCAAGACCAGCCTGGCCAACATGGCAAAACCCCATCTCTATTTAAAAAATATACAAAAAGCAGCCAAGCGCGGTGGTGTGTGCCTGTAGTCACAGCTACTTGGAAGCCTGAAGTAGGAGAATCACTTGAACTCAGGAGGCAGGTGTCGCAGTGAGACGCGATTGCGCCATTGCACTCCAGCCTGGGCGGCAGAGCTAGACTCCATCTCAAAAAAAAAGGAAAAAAACATTGGCTTGAAGGTGAATTAGTGGTGGAGCCTGGTGTCAGGACACAGGTGTGTGGCTTTTACTTTACCGAAGCTGGCTAGGTGCCGTGAGTCACACCTGTAACCCCAACACTTTGGGAAGCCAAGGTGGGAGGATTGCCTGGGTCAAGGAGTTTGAGACCAGCCTGGAGAACATGGCAAAACCCTCTCTACAAAAAAAAAAAACAGAAAAAAAAAAAATGTGCTGGGCACGGTGGCATGCACTTGTAGTCCCAGCTACTAAGGAGGCTGAAGTGGGAGAATCACCTGAGCCCAGGAAGTTAAGGTTGCAGTGAGCCGTGATCGCACCACTGCACTCCAGCCTGGTAAAAAAATAACAGGAAAAAAAAAAACACTGGGTGCGGTGGCTCACGCTTGTAATCCCAGCACTTTGGGAAGCTGTGGTGGTTGTATCAGTCCAGTCCAGAAGTTCTAGACCAGCCTGTTAATGTAACAAAACCCTGTCTCGGCCGGACATGGTGGCTCACGCCTGTAATCCAAGCACTTTGGAGGCCAAGGCGGGCGGATCACCTGAGGTCGGGAGTTCAGGACCAGCCTGACCAACATGGTGAAACCCCAGCTTTAAAAAACAAAAACAAACAAAAAAACAAAACCCTGTCTCTATTTTAAAAACAGCCGCAGGGCTGGGCATGGTGGCTCACGCCTGTCATCCCAGCACTTTGGGTGGCCAAGGTGGAAGGATCATCTGAGGTCAGGAGTTGGATACTAGCCTGGCCAACATGGTGAAACCCCACGTCTACTAAAAATATGAAAATTAGCCGGGCGTGGTGGCAGGCACCTGTAATCCCAGCTACTTGGGAGGCCGAGGCAGGACAATTGCTTGAACCTGGGGGGGCGGAGGTTGCCGTGAGCCGAGACTGCACCACTGCACTCCAACCTGGGCAACAGACTGAAACGCTGTCTCAAAAAAAATAAAAAAATAGCAGTAGCAACAAAAACTTTACAAAGAGGGTACAACACCTCTCTCTCTTTCTTTTTTATAGCCAGGGCGCAGTGGCTAACACCTATAATCCCAGCACTTTGGGAGGTTGAGGAGGGCAGATCACCTGAGGTCAGGAGTTCCAGACCAGCCCCCTGAGTAGCTGGGATTACAGGTACCTGCCACCATGCCTGGCTAAGAATAACACCTCTTTATGTGATAGCTGTCAATGACATGAGAATGGCAGCTGGCACAGGTACCTGCATAAGCCTCAGGTCTGGAAGCTGGTCTAGAATGATGCTGAGAGGCTCCATCACCTCAATGAATGAAAGAATAGCTTCTGTTAAGAGGGGGACTCATTAGACACAAAACCTTGGCACTGCCCAGGACCCCACACACAGCAATCACAGCATCTGACCTGTTACAATTCTGCTCTTTTTTTTTTTTTTGAGTTCCCTATAGCTCTCTGTATACCCTAAATCCCCCAAGAGAACAGAAATAGAAGCACACAAACCCTATCCTCTTATGAGCCAATGGAAACTAGAGTTCTAAGCATCTGCTACTCTTTCCCAAGTCAGAGCCACTGATTTTTTTTTTTAAAGACTGAGTTTCGCTCTGTCACCCAGGCTGGAATGCAATGGTGCCATCTCGGCTCACTGCAACCTCCGCCTCCTGGATTCAAGCAATTTATCTGCCTCAGCCTCCCGAGTAGCCACCACACTACTCAGTGGCCACACATGTGCCACCACACCCGGCTAATTTTCTATTTTTAGTAGAGATGGGGTTTTCCCATGTTGGTCAGGCTGGTCTTGAACTCCCGACCTCAGGCGATCCGCCCACCTCGGCCTCCCAAAGTGCTGAGATGGCCCAGCTACTTGGGAGGCTGAGGCAGGAAAATTGCTTGAACCCGAGAGGTGGAGGTTGCAGTGAGCCACAATCGTACCACTGCACTTCAGCATGGGTGACAGAGCAAGATTCCTTCTCAAAATAAAATAAAAAAAAAGTGCTAGGATGACGGGCGTGAGCCACCTTGCCCAAACCACTGAACTTCTAACAGATGAAAAGGTTTAGCCTGGGCAAGGTGGCTCCTCCTTGTAATCCCAGCACTTTGGGAGGCTGAGGCAGGCGGATCACCTGAGGTCAGGAGTTCGAGACCAGCCTGACCAACATGGAGAAACCCCATCACTACTAAAAATACAAAATTAGCTGATGTGGTGGTGCATGCCTGTAATCCCAGCTACTCGGGAGGCTGAGGCAGGAGAATCCCTTGAACTCAAAATGCGGAGGTTGCGGTGAGCTGAGATCATGCCATTGCATTCCAGCCTGGGCAACAAGAGCAAAACTCTGTCTCAAAGAAAAAAAAAAAATAAACCAGCTTGGGCAACATACTAAGACCCTACATATAGTGAGTCTCTACAAATAAGTAATTTTATTACTTTTAGCCAGAACAGACGTGGTGGCACACTGCCATGGTCCCAGATACTGCAGAGGTTGAGGTGGGAGGATTGCTTGATTGAGCCCGGGAGGTCCAGGCTGCAGTGAGCCAAAATCGTGCCACAGCACTCCAGCCTGGGCAACAGAGTAAAACCCTCAGAAAAGGGGCCAGCTGGGGGGAGACAATGGTGAATTGGGCTTCCAGCAAGAGAAGAAAAGCTATTCAATGTTTGCCATGTGTGGTGGCTCAGGCCTATGGTCCCAGCTACTCAGGAGGCTAAGCCATGAAACTCCCTTGAACCTGGGAGGTGTTCAAGCTTGAATGTGATTGCACGACTGCACTCTGCACCCTAGCCTGGGTGACAAAGTGAGACTCTCAAAAAAAAAAAACAAAAACAAAGAGGAGAGGAATTTTACCAACTAACTGTGGAATTCAGAAATACAGAAACGAAGCTGCGGAGTTGCCCAGCCGCTACTCACCTCCCAAGGCCCGGCCCTACTCCCCGGCTCTGAGCGCCGGAGGCTGAGACAGGGCTAATAAAAAGGTTTCTCTTTCGGCCCCAACCTGTGATTGGTCCTCAGGGCCTGACCACTGCTGGGCGCTTCCTGTTCCCACCAGGAATCCTGAGAGGTGGGCGCTGACTCCTCACCTGAGCGTCCCCATCTACACCTGTGGTTCTCAATCTTGGCTGCCTGTTAAACTTACCTATCTGGGGCCTCATTTCAAAGCACGAATGCCCAGAGATTCTGGTTGATTGGTCAGATTCGGGCTGCTCCGATACTGGAGTTCTTTAGAGTCCCAGATAATTACGATTGTTGCTGAGTCTGAGAATCACCGCTTAGAAGGCTCAGCTGTGATTGGCTACCTCCTCCATCACACGAGGCATATTATTAATAAAAATCCAACTGCATTTCCAGTTAAGTATCAATGACATGTCAACTATGAGACACATGAAAAGCACCAAATTCATTAGTTTTACACTGGCAGTATGTTTTTTTTTTTTTAAGATGGGGTTTCACCATGATGGCCAGGCTGGTTTCGAACTCCTGACCTCAGGTGATCCACCCACCTCGGCCTGCTAAAGTGCTAGGATTACAGGCGTGAGCCATCATGCCTGGCCACTGGCAGTATTAATTAATTAATTTATTTATTTTTGAGACAGAGTTTCGCTCTTGTTGCCCAAGCTAGAGTGCAATGGCGCAATTTCAGCTCACTGCAATCTCTGCCTCTTGGGTTCAAGTGATTCTCCTGCCTCAGCCTCCCCCGAGTACCTGGGCTTACAGGCGCCTGCCACCGCACCTGGCTAATTTTTGTATTTTCAGTAGAGACAGGGTTTCACCATCTTGGCCAGGCTGGTCTCAAACTCCTGACCTCATGATCCACCTGCTTCGGCCTCCCAAAGTGCTGGGATTACAGGCTTGAGCCACCATGCCCAGGCTAATTCTTTTTTTTTTTTTTTTTTTTCACCATGTTGGTCAGGCTGGTCTTAAACTCCTGACCTCAGGTGAGCCGCCTGCCTTGGCCTCCAAAGTGCTTGGATTACAGGCGTGAGCCACCGCATCTGGCCAATTCTTTTATTTTTTTAAGATGGAGTCTCGCTCCGTTGCCCAGGTTGGAATACAATGGTGCATTCTTGGCTCACTGTAACCTCCACCTCCTGGGTTCAAGAGATTCTCCTGCTTCAGTCTCCCAAGTAGCTGGGATTCCATGGCATGCACCACCATGCTCGGCTAATTTTTTGAATTTTTAAAGTAGAGATGGGGTTTGCCATGCTGGCCAGGCTGGTCTTGAACTCCTGACCTCAGGTGATCCCCCAGCCTCAGCCTCCCAAAGTGCTGGGATTACAGGCATGAGCCACCGGGCCTGGCCAGCAGTATAATTTTGTAAACATGTAAATGAGACTAAAAATTTGGCCAGGCACAGTGGCTCACACCTCTAATCCCAGCACTTTGGAAGGCTGAGGCTGGCAGATCACTTGAGGTCGGCAGTTCGATACCAGCCTGACCAACATAGAGAAACCCCGTTTCTACTAACAATACAAGATAGCCGGGCTGGGTGGTGCATGCCTGTAATCTCAGCTACTCAGGAGGCTGCGGCAGGAGAATTGCTTGAACTGAGGAGGCAGGGGTGGCGGTGAACAGAGATCGCGCCATTGCACTCCAGCCTGGGCAACAAGAGCGGAAAACTCCATCTCAAAAATAAATACATACATAAATAAAATAAAATACATAAATAAAGGCTAAACATTTGAGTTTTACAGCTTTTTTCTTTTCTTTCCTTCTTTTTTTTTTTTTTTTTAGATGGGGTCTTGCACTGTCACCCAGGCTGGAGTGAAGTGGCACAATCTTGGCTCACTGCAACCTCCGCCTCCTGGGTTCAAGTGATTCTCCTGCCTCCACCTCCCAACTAGCTGGGACTACAGACACCCCCCAGCACACCTGGTTAGTTTTTTTTTTCGGTGTGTATTTTTAGTAGAGATGGGGTTTTACTATGTTGGCCAGGCTGGTCTCAAACTCCTGACCTCTTGATCCGCCCACACTGGCCTCCCAAAGTGCTGAGATTACAGGCGTGAGCCACCGCGCCCGGCCTTTTCCATGTTTTAGAACCAACATATGTATGTCTGCATCTGTATTTCTTTTCTTTTTGTTTTTTCTTTTTGAGTCAGGGTCTCACTCTGTCACCCTGGCTGGAGTGCAGCGGCACAATCATAGCTTACTGCAGGCTACAGGCATACGCCATCATGCCTGACTAGATTTTCATACTTTTTGTAGAGATGGTGTTCTCACGATGTTGTCCAGGCTAGTCTCAACCCCATGGGCTTAAGCGATCTTCCCGCCACCACGGCCTTCCAAAGTGCTGGGATTTCAGGCATGAGCCACCATGCTTGACCCGGTGTTTACTTACCAGGTCCTCTAAACTTTCCTCCACAGTAGGGATTGCCAGGATCCTACCCATTTTTCACGTTCCTTGAGAAAATGAAGGCAAGAAATATTTAGAAAACCTGTCTGAGGTCTTGAAGATCACAAACAGCTGTCAGCTTTGGAAGCCCAGCTCTATTCTAGAAAGAGTCTGAAAGTGAGGGACAGAGGGAAGAGAAAGGATGAATTAAATCCGCCAGGCCTGGTGAGGCCACTCACACCTGTAATCTCAGCACTTTGGAGGCCAAGGCAGGTGGATCACGAGGTCGAGAGATTGAGACCTATCCTGGCCATCATGGCGAAACCCTGTTTCTACTAAAAACACACAAAAAATAGCCAGGCATGTTGGCGCGTGCCTGTAGTCCCAGCTCCTTGGGAGGCTGAGGCAGGAGAATTGCTTGAATCTGGGATGACGAGGTTGCAGTGAGCCGAGATCTCGCCATTGCACTCCAGCCTCTGACAGAGGGAGGCTTCATCTCAGAAAAAATAAAAAAAAAAAAAAAAGAAAAAGAAAAAAGAAAGAAAAGAAAATGTGCCAGGAGCAGTTTTTAGGCTGCACATTTCAATAAATTCTTTTCTTTTCTTTTTTTTTTTTTTTTTTTTTTTTTTTGAGACGGAGTTTTGCTCTTGTTACCCAGGCTGGAGTGCAATGGCGTGATCTCGGCTCACCGCAACCTCCGCCTCCCGGGTTCAGGCAATTCTCCTGCCCCAGCCTCCTGAGTCGCTGGGATTACAGGCACGTGCCACCATGCCCAGCTAATTTTTTTTGTATTTTTAGTAGAGACTGGGTTTCACCATGTTGACCAGGATGGTGTCGATCTCTTGACCTCGTGATCCACCCGCCTCGGCCTCCCACAGTGCTGGGATTACAGGCTTGAGCCACCGCGCCCGGCAATAAATTCTTTCCATTTTTTTCATTCTTCTTCTTTTTTTTTCTTTTAGCTGCGATAAGAACCTTTAACAGAGATCAGCTAGGTGCAGTGGCTCACGTCTGTAATCCCAGCACTTTGGGAGGCTGAGGTGAACGGATCACAAGGTCAGGAGTTGGAGACCAGCCTGGCTAACATGGTGAAACCCTGGCTCTACTAAAATACAAAAAAATTAGCTGGGCGTGGCAATGTGCACCTGTAGTCCCAGCTACTCGGGAGGCTGAGGCAGGAGAATCACTTGAACCCAGGAGGCGGAGGTTTTGGCGAGCTGAGACTGTGCTGCTGCATTCCAGCTGGGGGACACAGCAAGACTCCGTCGCAAAAAAAAAAAAAAAAAAAAGCAGAAGGCTGAAAAGACACCTCAAAAGGCCAATCTCAGGTTCCACAATCATGACGTTATTTACAGGAGTAATTGGGGAAGTTGCAAATCTTCCGAACTCCAGAACCATGGCTGAATTCAGGCCTCTCTCATTTCCCTAACTTGCTGGCCTTTCCTTGGTGTCACAAGCGTAGTTTAGTTTTGGGGAAGGACTGCTATCATTTAAATTATAAGCTAGGCCGGTGAGGTGGCTCACGCCTGTAATCCCAGCACTGTGGGAGGCCAAGGTGGGCGGATCACCTGAGGTCAGGAGTTTGAGACCAGCCTGGCCAACATGGTGAAACCTCATATCTTAAAAAAAAAAAAAAAAAAAAAAGAAAAGAAAAGAAATTATAAACTAAATTTATTCCCAAAGTTAACTTGGCCCCATCCAAGAATGAGGGAAGACAGCCAGTCTGTGGGGCTAGATGGAGACAGTGGCATCACACTTCTCGTAGGGTCCTAATTATGCAAAGGCAGCTTTAGTTTCACATAAGGAATTTTATGTGAAATTTTAGTTTGGAACACTGAACAAGTCATCTCAAGTTTCCTTACAAAAGCAAGCCCTCGATCGGGCATGGTGGCTCACCCCTGTAACCCCAGTACTTTGGGAGGCTGAGGTAGGTAGATGAGGTGTGGTCAGGAATTCGAGATCAGCTTGGTCAATATGGTGAAACCACGTCTCTACTAAAAATACAAAAATTGGCCGGCATG